GTTACTGGATCTTCTTTTATTACAAAGGTGGTGACCCAACAGATATAAACAATTATAGGCCAATATCAAACTTGCTGTTGGAGTGTGAGCAGGGTAATATTAAGTGAAGGGATTCAGGGAAATCTGTTATTTTTTATAGCCAGACTTGAGTCCTGGAAATGGGAAGTACAATGCCTGCACTCTAAAGGAGGGGTCTGGGATATTGGCAGTTTGGAGGGATATGTTGTGTATTTTCATACGTAAATACTTCTAAGCTGTTGTATTCTGAGCACCTCTGCAAAAACAGTGATTATGTGCGAGTGAGGTGAAAGTGTTGAATGAGGTGAAGTATTTTCGTTTTGGGGATTTTCTTTCTTTTTGGGTCACCTTGCCTCAGTGGGACATGGCCAACTTGTTAACCCTTTCAGGGTTTTGGCCATACTAGTACGGCTTACGGACCAATGTCCATGATGTACTAGTACGCCTAAATTCTAGCGCCCTCAAATCTAGTGAGAAAGCTGGTTGGCCTACATATGAAAGAATGGGTCTATGTGGTCAGTGTGCACAATATAAAAAAAATCCTGCAGCACACAGTGCGTAATGAGAGAAAAAAAACTTTGACCGTGTTTTTGGATTAAAACAGCGACTTTGCACTGTATTTTCGTATGGCATTTATTGTATTCTAGTTTTCCTGGTCTCACTTTATAGAATGGAAGACATATTACAGAAATTGAGATGATTTTGACTGGTTTTACAATGAAAATTATCTTGAAATTGAGCTCAAAGTAGCAGAAGTGTTCGATTTTTACCGAAGTTCAAAAGTAAACAAATCATGCTATGCGTCCAATACACGTCAACTGGTGAGTCTAATATTCTTTCACAAGTGCGCTGATATTATTTATACCATTTCTACACTAATGCAGTAGTCTGCATAACAGTAGATCTCCTATTTTTTTGTGAGAATAAAAATTCAAAGTGAAAAGCAAAAGAATGTAAGAGGGGCGTGGGGATGTGACTAATGAACAGAGGAAATATTATTTTAGTGCCAGGAATGTCTTTCTTATTTATTCTGGACCCTATTTAGAAATTGGCATCTTTTGAAATTTGTGTGAGATTGGCAAAATTGCTAAATTCTGACCACTGTATTGGATAGTTGAAATCGGTAAATGGGTGGTTTCTTGTACTCATTCGATAGAAAAAATGGAGTTCTAGCAAAATAGTTATGATTTTTGTCGACTAGTACACTGGAATTGGCCAAAAATAGGGCTCAAAGTGGGCAATAACAAGTGTATGAGTGGAAGGTGTTACCTGGAGTTTACCTGGAGAGAGTTCCGGGGGTCAACGCCCTCGCGGCCCGGTCTGTGACCAGGCCTCCTGGTGGATCAGAGCCTGATCAACCAGGCTGTTACTGCTGGCTGCACGCAAACCAACGTACGAGCCACAGCCCGGCTGGTCAGGAACCGACTTTAGGTGCTTGTCCAGTGCCAGCTTGAAGACTGCCAGGGGTCTGTTGGTAATCCCCCTTATGTATGCTGGGAGGCAGTTGAACAGTCTCGGGCCCCTGACACTTATTGTATGGTCTCTTAATGTGCTAGTGACACCCCTGCTTTGCTTTTCATTGGGGGGATGTTGCATCGTCTGCCAAGTCTTTTGCTTTCGTAGTGAGTGATTTTCGTGTGCAAGTTCGGTACTAGTCCCTCTAGGATTTTCCAGGTGTATATAATCATGTATCTCCCCCGCCTTCGTTCCAGGGAATACAGGTTTAGGAACCTCAAGCGCTCCCAGTAATTGAGGTGTTAGCTAACAAGTGCTTATTCAAAAAGTTGTATCCTATAGAAACTCCATATAATGGGAACTTTTTCTTACAGTACAATGCTGTACTCACCTAGTTGTGGTTGCAGGGGTCGAGTCATAGCTCCTGGCCCTGCCCCTTCACTGGTCGCTACTAGGTCACTCTTCCTGCTCCATGTTGGTGTGTCTACTGATGAAGTTGGCATGGTAAAGTACTGGTGTGATGCCAAGAATGACTTCCAAACATCAACTTGTCTGAATTTTACATCCAAGTTAGATATTGACCTCTTTGAGTTTGTTAAACACAAGACTTTCCCAAATGTATGGCCATCACTCCTAATGGAGTATAATTTGCAATTCTTGCCACTGATAAAAAACTTAATTATTTTATTGCTAATCCATTACGTAGTTTTTAATAGATCTTAACTGTTAATTACAGTAAGCTAATATGTTTGTGACTAATTAATGGTTCAGCTTGAACAAAAATGTCATCATAAGGTTCATTCTCCTATGTACAAATTTTGTGTAATTACATAGCCAAAATGGCTTAAAAGTCTATGTGAATTCAGTAAGAAATGGTGGCCATTTTTAGGCCTTAACCCTTAAACGGTCCAAATATATCGACGTTCAAATCCGTAGTGCTCCAAAAGTAGATCTATGTTTTTTTTTTTTAAATATTTTCAAATATAACAAAAACAAAAATGTAGATAAAAGTTTTTTACACATTTTCAGATGTAAAAAAAAAAGATGATGTACAATTTTTTACATACTTTCAAATGTTGAAAAAACGTATATATACGTTTGGACCATTTAACGGTTAATTTGTGCATGACTGGTAGCCATAAAAGGCCCACTGTGATTTTTTTTTTTTTCTTTTAGGATTTTACACCCTAACATATTTATTTTCTCTCAGCTGCCTGCTCCAGTGGTTCTGCCACCATTATGGGCACTTGTTGATGTCCTCAGGGATGTCAGTGTGGAACATCAATATGTTGATGTTTACAGTGATGTCAGTGTGGTACATCAACTTGATCACAGTGACACACTGACATCATACATTACACTGACATAAGACACTCATTCTTACAAAGTGCATTAGTATGCCATCTATTTCACAAAAAGTGAACTAAACAGCACCTTAGGTGGGTGGAGCTTACAGATGCTCGCTGAGCTCACATTGGTGGAAAGTCAAGTTTACATCAGTCTTTCAATCACAGCAGTTGTGTTACAAGCCCAGTAAGGAAATACTGACCTCGTTATACTCTAATTGTAAATAATTTACATAAAGTTGTTATGAATGAAACAAGCATGAGGAAACATCAGTCTTCAGCATATGTGAGCTGCTTTTGATTCAGCATAACTTTTATTACTGTTACTACTACCACCACTGCTACTATTATTACTTTACCACTACTTTTACTCATAATACTACTGCTAATGCTACTGATGCTATTACTAGTGCTCGACTGTTTTATTATTACTGCTGCTACTACTATAACTACTGTTTCAATACAGTAGTTCCTTGTATCCGCAAGAGATGCATACCAAGACCTACCCAAAGGTGTAGAGAGGCCAAAAACAAGTGTGCTAGAGAATGGAAGAAGTACAGAAGGCAAAGGACCCAGGAGAGTAAGGAGTGAAGCTGTAGAGCCAGGAATGAATATGTACAGGTAAGAAGGGAGGTCAAACAACAATATGAAAATGACATAGCAGCAAAAGTCAAATTTGACCCAAAGCTGTTGTACAGCCACATCAGGAAGAAAACAACAGTCAAGGACAAACACGAAGTATGTGAGGAGCTCAACATGAGATTCAAAGTAGTGTTCACAGAGGAGACAGAAGGGACTCCAGAAAGACAGAGAGGTGGGGTACACCATCAAGTCTTGGACACATTACATACAACCGAGGAAGAAGTGAAGAGGCTACTAAAAGAGCTAGATACCCAAAGGAGTTGGGGCAGGATAACATCTCTCCATGGGTCCTAAGAGAGGGAGCAGAGGTGCTATGTGTACCCCTAACAACAATTTTCAACACGTCTATCGAAACAGCAACTTCCTGACATATGGAAGACAGAAAATGTAATTTTTTTTAAAACGGAGACAGATACAAAGCATTAAACTACAGACCAGTGTCACTGACATGTACAGTATGCAAAGTCATGGAGAAGATTATGAGAAGAAGAGTGGTGGAGCACCTAGAAAGGAATGAGCTTATCAACGACAGCCAGCACGGTTTCAGGGACAGGAAATCCTGTGTCACAAACTTATTGGAGTTCTATGGGAGGGTGACAGCAATAAGACAAGAGAGAGAGGGGTGGGTAGACTGCATTTTCTTGTACTGTAAGAAGGTGTTTGACACAGTTCCACACAAGAGATTAGTGCAAAAGCTGGAGGACCAGGCAGGGATAACAGAGAAGGCACTGCAATGGATCAGGGAATACCTGTCAGGAAGACAACAGTGAGTAATGGTACGTGGCGAGGTGTCAGAGTAGGTGCCTGTGACGAGCGGGCTTCCACAGGGGTCAGTCCTAGGACCAGTGCTGTTTCTGGTATTTGTGAACAACATGACAGAAGGAATAGACTCCAAAGTGTCCCAGTTTGCAGATGGTGTGAAGAATCCAATTGGATGAGGACCAGGCAGAATTACAAAGGGATCTGGACAGGCTGTAGGCCTGGTTCAATAACTGGCTCCTGGAGTTCAACCCCACCAAGTGCAAAGTCATGAAGATTGGGGAAGGGCAAAGAAGACTGCAGATGGAGTACAGTCTAGGGGGCCAGAGACTACAAACCTCACTCAAGGAAAAGAATCTTGGGGTGAGTATAACACCAGGCACATCTCCTGAGGCGCACATCAACCAAATAACTGCTGCAGCATACGGGTGCCTATCATATACCTTATATATGCCCTCTGTGTCCATGTATTGTTTGTAACGGCTTGATAAAGCTCCTGGAGAGCAAAGCGTTGCCACAATAAAATGTAACATTAGTTGCATTTGTGTCCTTAACATATTGTCGGTAATTCTACCAATATTAATACAAGATACCAGATATACTAAGCAAATTTCCTAAATTTTCTTGTAATAGATAAGTGAACTGTAGGATACACAAAAGGCTTAGTTCCTAGGCCTTTTGTGTTTCCATATGCTCTTGCAGTACCGTCCACAGGATGGATATGAGGTGCACAATAAACTAGCCACTTTAGTGGCCAAATCTAATCTTTTGTTTTTATAGTGTTTTGTAGTGTATAGCATTTTTGTAGTGTTGTATAGTATTTTTGCAGTTTTTTTCAGTGCTTTGGTTGAGTTTTGTGTTTGTTTTGTTTTAATATTGTTTTTGTAGTCTTTTCCAAATGTTTTCAGTTTCTTGTAGTGTTCTTGTGTTTTTGCAACTGTTTTTAATAGTGTTCTGTAGTGGTTTTTTTTCTGAATTTTTTTCAGTTATTGCATTTTTACAGTGCTTTTATAATGTTTTTGCAATGCTTTTGGTTTACTTTTATAGTGTGGCTTTGTAGTACACAGTGGACCCCCACCATACGATATTAATCCGTTCTTGAGAGCTCATCGTAAGCCGAAATTATCGTTAGCCGAATTAATATTCCCCATAAGAAATAATGGAAATCGAATTAATCCGTTCCTGACACCCCAAAGTATGAAAAAAAAAAAATTTACCACATGAAATATTAATTTTAATACACACAAACTGAAGAAGACATGCACAATTACTACTCTGCTAAGAATAGAATACATGACACTTACCTTTATTGAAGATTTGGCGATGACTGATGGGATGGGAGGAGTGGAGAGTGTGGAAGTTATTATTTAGAAGGGGAATCCCCTTCCATTAGGACCTGAGGTAGCAAGTCCTTTTCCGGGGTTACTTCCCTTCTTCTTTTAATGCCACATGGACCAGCTTGAGAGTCACTGGACCTCTGTCGCACAACAAATCTGTCCATAGAGCTCTGTACCTCCTGTTCCTTTAAGACTTTCCTAAAATGGGCCATAACATTGTCATTGTACAGGTTGCCAACATGGCTTGCAGTAGCTGTGTCAGAGTGATTTTCATCCGTAAAGGTTTGCAGTTGAACCCATTTTGCACACATTTCCTTAATCTCATTTTAATTCCATACTAATTCTTGCCCCTTTTTACCACAGAGATGGCACTAGAAGCTTTCTTGGGGTGCATGGTGACTTATTTTGCAGTTACAAGCACTAAAATCACTGGGATAATGTGAAATGTACAGAATGTATGCATAGATGTGACTGCACTGGCTGGCTTGTAAACACTGGTGCTGAGGTCACACGTGGGACGCATCCTGGACGAATCACATAAGGCGAGTTTTTTATCGTGAGGCGAGGCAAAATTTTTGCGATCAAATGCTTCGTATGGCGGACTTAACGTAACTCGATGCGTTCATAAGGCGGGGTCCACTGTATTTGCAGTTCTTTTTGTAATTTTTTTTGGTGTTCTTGCAGTATTTTTTTTGTAGTGTTTCTGATGTGTTTTGTAGTGTTCTTGCATTGTTTTTGCAGTTTTCTAGTGTTTAGGTAGCTTTTGCATTGTTTTTACATCATTTCTGTAGTGTTTTGCAGTGTTCTTGTAGTCTTCCTATGTTTTTGCAAGTTTTTTGTTTTTGTAGTTTTTTATTTTATTTTTTTAAGTGTCAGGGGTTAAATTAAAATTCTTTAAAAATTTTATGGAATTTTACATCAGTTCTTGGCATCACAAGAAAAATCCATATTTATCACACTATCACTAATGTATACACAAGGCTTATAACTACTAATATTTCCAGAATTATACTTTGTAATTTCTATTAACTTTGGTCAAACAAATAGGTGCAGGCACTGGCTAGTGTATACGGGCTGTTAAACATCTGAGATATTAGACTCATTTCTCAATAAATGAATATGAAAGTTATAAATTTTTAATTAATGTTAGTTTTATACTTCAGGTTTGTGAGAGTTCAATTTTTGAAGTGCCAAGTTCAAATGTTTACTTAAAGTTCATTTTGTCTTATAAAAATTTACATTCAGTAAGAAAAACATACCTTGGAAGATGCACTTCAACTGTCCCAATAAGCATAACACTTTGCTCCTAAGCAAATAAATACAGGATTTTAGAATGCTTTGAGTAGGTTATACTCATTAGTATCCTAAGATATGAGTCTACGAGACTTTAACATTCTTTCAAGACGGGCAATCTTGCTCATTTCATGTTCTGGGCTCGGAGTTGAGGTGCTATTTATGCTGGCTGTGGATGAAGCTTGACCGATTAAGTGATGAGCTGCTAATGGTTGGTTACCAGAGCTTGAAACTGTTGGGTTACGATGAGGAGAATCTACTGAGGGTCCCATAGTGTGCTGCCGATATAACTCTAGCACTGAAGCTCGCTCTTTTACTCCTCTCATCTCCAATACCTATATCATTAGACACAAATTAATTTATCATGGGATTTTGGATGTTTGTATAAAGAATATAACAAGCATTAACATTTGTTAATTCAACAATAAAGTTATAGTATGTGCTTCTTATTTTTTTTAACTTAGCTTGTATTTCTCACAAAGGCAGGGTAACAAAAATAAATTAACAACAACCTATTGCTATTTTTCCAAAATCAGATAGATGTCAAAGTCTAATATTAGCCAACAAAACATCCATCACCTTCACTTCCTTTTCAAAGAGCAGGTGTATTCCCCAACCTCTAACACTAGTATTTGGTGTAAAAAGACATGTGAGGACATATTTGTTACAAAACCTTTGGTCCTGGGGCCTCCATCACTTCTAACATAAAAAAGGAAAAAAAAAAAAAAACAGTATATGTATAGTCTTGAAGTGAGGTGTGCCATATAGTCACCTAAAAAATGCAAGTGATGCTTTTTTCTTTTGAGACGACATCAGGTAGACAATGAGATCACATGATTCCTTTTTTGTGAGGTAGGTTGAGCTTTGCCATTAGTATCATGTATATCAGTGTTTTTTAAATTTGGGCTTCCAGTTTTATGTTCCATGGTGTCATGATAATATCAGCAAGGCTTCAAGTATTTGGCATCTAAATTTTTCAGTGAATAAAATTTGTTCATTTTAATTCTCAAGTCCTTGGATTCCTGTGCAGGCCCAGGGCATTCCGAACTGGCCCTGTTGCAAGCACTTCAATGTTAACTTTGGGGGACTAAAGTTTTTTGCCTTTTTTCCTGTAATTTCTTGGAACAGTGTTCACAGGAAGGCGTGACCCCCACTGTAAAGTTAGAGGTCAGGACTTTGTGTGTCAGGTCTTTTGGAGGATTTATTCATGGGGGAAACACCAATACTGTTCTAACAAGAACTTATGGGCATTACTAGCAACTTCCCGCAAGGAAACACTATGACCTGTTCGAGGAATGTTTTGTGTGGGATTTTCTGAAGACAGCCTGTGTTTGTCTGCAGCCCTGGATGAAGAAGACGATTAATGAAAATAAAGGCATAAGCTTCCTAAGCAAATCCCCAACCCGGCACGCTCAATACGTTCATACAGGGACCCTTAAGAAACTTTTCCTCCACAGGAACTCCCCATACATCTGATGAATTTGGGATGAGGCACAACTGTCCTCCTGAAAAATGATCTAGATGCGAGATGCCTAACGCCTCGAATTTCCTCACCAACACCTGGAAATAATCTGGAATAAAAAAAATTTTAAAAAAGAACATGCATCAGATACTCTTCTGACTAAAGAAAACCCCAAAACCCCTCACAACACAGCAATTATGAGGTCATTTTCTACAAACCTCATCTCAAAAAAAAACCCAACTTCATTTTAATCATTATAGATCCTCACACCCCCCTTTCCACCTATATAACGTTTTTTAAACCCTTTTTTATGTTTGAAGTGAAAAAGTTCCAAGAGCAAAAAGTTTTAATAAATATGTCCAGTGTTTCCCAAAAGTGTCTTTTTTAACCAATTTGTAGGGCAGGTCCTCCATCACAAATCCGGGATCATTGGGCCCGTATTTTGCCGGTTATGATTTTGCCAATTTTTTAAGTGGTTAGGTTAGAATAACCCTTTAAAAAAAATAACCAACTTGACTTACACATTAATTAAAATGGGCAAAAATAAAACATTTCCGCACTTTGAGCTCAATTTCAAAGTACTTTTCGTCATAAAAAATTCAAAATCATGTCTTTTTCATCATCAAATGAGTCCAAAAAAATGAATACAACCCAAAAACCATAGAAATGACTGCCAAAGGCGGCAATGGTCGAAAGTTAACCCCTTATTTATCGTCCGTCTTTTTTTTTTTGTTGTACGTTAAGAAGCACTTTCCATCAACTTCCCCAAAAGTTTCAATGGAAAGCCTAACACACAACCAAAAAAAAAAAAATTTTTACCAAAAACCAAATATGGCAAGCCCAAGCCGGTACGGGAAAAATAAGCACTTTGTCGACTTTTCTGGGTTACCTGGTTTCTATCTTAACTGCTATGTATATAATCTATTAACTGTATTTGTGTATCCTGAATAAACTTTTTTTACTTTAGTCTTCAACTGAGAAAAAAGAAACCACCCTTTCCCCTTATTTCAACTCCCCAAAAAAAAAGTAGTCAAAATTGGCAATTTGGCCGGTTTCACAAAATTTTTTAAACAAGCCAATTTAAAAAATAGGGTCCAAAATAAACAAGTAACTTCCGGGGCACTAAAATAACATTTTTTCTGTTCTTAGTCATGGGACAGGCCCCCTTATATTACTCTTGCTTACCATTTGGAATTTTTATTAAAAAAAAAAATGAAAATTTTTGTTATCAATTACGCTTATTTTAATAATTTTATAAATAATGTCAAGCCCTTCTTTACTACGAATTGGGCCGGCAGGGGGAAGGGATTGGACGGGCGCATTTGTTTATCTTTCTTCGCTAAAGAATAGAAAATTTTCGCTCGTGGCGAAAATTCAAGGGACTTTTCCTTGAAAGAATCAAATTCATATCATTTCGTAATATATTTTTTATTCTATCAAATGAACCAAAAAAATGAAATATAACCATAACCAATACAAAATATACCGCTAAGTGGGCCCCTATGGTGAGAAGTGAACTCCGTATTTAAAGGTCTGATTTCTTTCATTTTTGGTGTACGTGAAGAATACTTTCCATCATACATTGCCCCAAATTTTGAATAAGATAACCCAACAAACAATGAGAAATAATAAAATTTTAAAAAAAAATAATAAAATAAAAATAAAATAAAAAAAAATATATTTACACAAATAGGCCCCCCAAAAAAAAGAGAAGCTTACGACACTTTTTGGTCCGACGGACCATTTTTCAAATCACCAAACACCTCTTTCCCCACATATAGCTTCCTGCTCCACTTCGGGTTTTTGTGACTTTTTTAAAGGTCCAAATCGGACCGAAACTCGTCGTAAGCTTTTCTCTTTTATGTGCGGGTTATTTGTGTATTGCTCCAGTCACGGTATTGTGCCTTTTTTTTGTTATTTAATAATATATTTATTTAGTACATGTACATGTACAAGGTATACAGGCCTAGCTGACATCAGTGACATACTACTGTATAGAAAGCTGCTTGATATGCAGAGTATTTCAAGTAAATTAGGTCAGTGTCCCAGGATAACACCCACACCAGTCGACTAACACCCAGGTACCCATTTACTGATGGGTAAACATATACAACAGGTGTAAAGAAACGCACCTAATGTTTCTACCCTGGCTGGGAATCGAATATTTACCAAAAATCATATATGGCTAACCCAAGCCAGGTACTAAAAATAAGCCACGGTGACTTTTTTTGGGTTATCCTAGGTTCTCTACACATATGCTGCTATGTGTGATAATCTATAGAGAGAAAATAACTTTTTTGTTTCATGTTTATGATGGAGTACGAGTGTATATCATAGTTAGCCCTGTGCTATACTCCGTTTTCTCTAATATAAGCCCCCAAGACAGGGATAGGAGAATGGTATTTGTTTACCACATCCTCTTCATAACTCTGTTGAACTGCTCGGTGTTGTGCCAAATATTATTCATTCTGGAGTATTTAACATGTTTTATGTTATTTATATTGTTTCTTATGTCATATTGGATGAATTGTGATAGGCAAATAAGCTATAGTGTTGATATTAGCGTAATAATAAAGCATATTCTCCTGCTTCATGAGACTGAGTTCATGACAACCAACAGTGGCTTCAAAGCCACCTTATCTTTAATGGATAATGTATTGTGTAGGTGCTTTACATAATGAGAAGCATTTCTTTTATTCATTGGAACCATGGCTAGGGCTAAAAGTAAGCAGGTTAAAACATTAAATGGAGAAAAAGAAATTGGAATGACTTATGCAGCAAGTAGTGCCACCAAATAGTACCAGCAGGTTGGTGTGGCGACCCTGGAAATTTGAAATTATGCTAGCCAAAATTAGTGCCGAATAACTGAAGGAACCGAATAACTGATTGCCGGATTTGTGATGGTGGGCCTGTACTTTCAAATGTTGAAAAAACGTAGATCTACGTTTGGACAGTTTAAGGGTTAAATTACATTCACTTGTTAGACGAAGAATGATGGGAGACATGATCGAAGTGTATAAGGGGAAGATGGTTATTAATAAAGGGTATATTATTAGTGTATCAGTCTGTAGTGGAAGGAAGGCGGGGTAGGGGTCAGCCTAGGAAAGGTTGGAGGGAGGGGGTAAAGGAGGTTTTGTGTGCGAGGGGCTTGGACTTCCAGCAGGCGTGCGTGAGCGTGTTTGATAGGAGTGAATGGAGACGAATGGTTTTTAATACTTGACGTGCTGTTGGAGTGTGAGCAAAGTAACATTTATGAAGGGGTTCAGGGAAACCGGCAGGCCGGACTTGAGTCCTGGAGATGGGTAGTACAGTGCCTGCACTCTGAAGGAGGGGTGTTAATGTTGCAGTTTAAAAACTGTAGTGTAAAGCACCCTTCTGGCAAGACAGTGATGGAGTGAATGATGGTGAAAGTTTTTCTTTTTCGGGCCACCCTGCCTTGGTGGGAATCGGCTAGTGTGATAATAAAAAAAAAATAAAAATAATTAGTAAGGTCTTGAGGATATCTCTCCAGGAGAGAATCCGCAGTAATGGATTCAAATTAGACAAGTTTAGATTTAGAAAGGATGTAGGAAAGTATTGGTTTGGAAATAGGGTAGTTGATGAATGGAACAGTCTACCTAGTTGGGTTATTGAGGCTAAAACCTTGGGTAGTTTCAAATATAGGTTGGATAAATACATGAGTGAGAGGGGTTGGATTTGAGTGGGACTTGCATATGAGAGTGGATAGAGTTATCAGAGCTTATTTCTTGGGTGGCATTGAAAATTGGGTTGGGCAAATGTTTTGTTAGTGGGATGGATTGTAAAGGACCTGCCAAGTATGGGCTAAGAGGCCTGCTGCAGTGTTCCTCCTTTCTTATATACTTATGTTCAAAGTTGTAGTACTATGGCACGACCAATGACCTCAAAGCTGTAGTACTATGGCATGCCCAGTGAAGTGGTTAACTGTATCAAATTATATCTGTATTATTATATGATCAAAATCTATAACACAATCACTTGGAATGTAACAACTATAACTTCTTTATATGGCCCAAAAGATTTTAAAAACAAAATGGTAAATTTTTAACCAAAGGTTTCTTAATGTCATTAACACCAAGGTCTCTCACTTTTGTATTCAAGTTTCATGATTCTGTAACCATTCACACAGCTTCCTGAATATTTCTTTCCCCTCTCCACTTCTCTCATATCTAAGTGCTTAAACTAGTTCATAACCATCTCTTATTCTCAACAACAACTATTCAATTAAAACTTTTATATCACTCTTTTTTTCTTTCAATACTTGTTCATTCAACAAATCTATCACACCTTGGTAAGCTCTTATGATGTCAGACATAACCAATTTAAATCTTCAACTTTTTAACTTTATTTCACTCAGTGATTCAATACAGTATAAAGTGTCCTTGCATTCATAACATCCACTGTACAATCACTTCTTCATATTCACACACAAATATGCTAACATTATCAATATTATTATTATTGTTGTATTAAAGTGTTATATTTATCTAACATCAATTCTGCATAACCAGGGCCTTCCCACATGTCTAACTAAATGTCACCAATTTTTTAATAGTATGTACTGTACATCTGGAAATAAAATATTAGTTTTACTATTATTATTTCCTTATTGGTACTGTATGTGATTAATTACTGAATGGGTAACTACAGGCTTGCAATTTAGCTGTCTTCTACTACATGCATGACTACAGGAAAAGTCTAATCTGCTACCAACAAAGGTGGCTGGAAAGAAAACCTACAGACATGAAAACTCTGAATTTAACGTACATACGAGTTATTACGACTAACTTGATAAGAGACATAAATAAATAAAAAGTAATTCTGTCATAGTACTTATTGTTAAAAAATCAATATTATCACTCATGTTACATAATAGTGGTAAGTTCTTGGATGGTACTATCATATATACAGTACTTACCTTTTGAAAATCTGCAATTGTAGCATCAGGTAGAAGTCGATTAAATTTGTCAACCAGTTCACAATGTGTTGTATATTCCCCCATCACAACCTACAAGAAACTATGTTGTATCACAGAATTAAACTTATTTTATAATTCTCACCATATATCTTCCCACTTGCTAAGTAGTCATGGGAAAGTAATGTAGGAAGATTTCATGACATAGCAATTCTTAAGCAATTCTCCTAAAGAGTAACTTTCCATAAAATACTATATAGTAATCCTATTTCTTTGTAATTTAAAAAATGTATTATGCTTTAATAATCTTCATTCCAGCTTGTTTTTTTTTGATACATGATAAATGAAGATCAGTATCTTTTTATGTTTTAAAGTATACCCACATTAATAAAATATATAAAAATTCCCATTATTGCCATGGTCACATGATAACAGTCACTGCTACCTATCACCTCTTAAACAATACTTTGCTATTTATTTCTGTATTAGTTTGCTGACATAGCTGAACTTTGCCACGAAAGCATGGGAACCCAAAGAAGAAAAAATTAGTAATATACTGTCAGATGTTTTAATCTTCAAAACACATGACCTGACATGACTCTGGCCTTCTCACTTCCTCTTCTGACCCCTCTTCTTGAACTGTCTTTAACTGATCTATCTTCTCTCTTTCTCCTTGCCTCCTAATTTGTTTTCTGGAATTTTCATTATCAAACCTGTCTTCTGACTTTGTCATCATTCTTCACATGATTTGTTTTTTCTTTACCCACATTTTTGTTCAGTTGTGACTTGACAATGGTTTAGGAAAGGCAAAAATGTCATCTACAGTTCTCCCTAAAAAGTGTTGCTTATTTGTGAGTTCATTTTCACTCATTTTTTTAAAAGGTCATGCACAAAGTAATCCAAAGTTAACCAAAGAAGATAATATTCCCCACTTTATGTGAAAAGAAATATATTTGTACGTATATATATGGCCATATCCCCTTATATATATGATTATATATATATATAATATAAATATATATATATATATATTATTTTAAAATTTATATATATATATGTAATGTCACCATGGTTTGTTTAATATATTTATAGATGGGGTTGTAAAAGAAGTAAATGCTAGGGTGTTCGGGAGAGGGGTGGGATTAAATTATGGGGAATCAAATTCAAAATGGGAATTGACACAGTTACTTTTTGCTGATGATACTGTGCTTATGGGAGATTCTAAAGAAAAATTACAAAGGTTAGTGGATGAGTTTGAGAATGTGTGTAAAGGTAGAAAGTTGAAAGTGAACATAGAAAAGAGTAAGGTGATGAGGGTATCAAATGATTTAGATAAAGAAAAATTGGATATCAAATTGGGGAGGAGTAGTATGGAAGAAGTGAATGTTTTCAGATACTTGGGAGTTGACGTGTCGGCGGATGGATTTATGAAGGATGAGGTTAATCATAGAATTGATGAGGGAAAAAGGGTGGGTGGTGCGTTGAGGTATATGTGGAGTCAAAAAACGTTATCTATGGAGGCAAAGAAGGGAATGTATGAAAGTATAGTAGTACCAACACTCTTATATGGATGTGAAGCTTGGGTGTAAATGCAGCAGCGAGGAGACGGTTGGAGGCAGTGGAGATGTCCTGTCTAAGGGCAATGTGTGGTGTAAATATTATGCAGAAAATTCGGAGTGTGGAAATTAGGAGAAGGTGTGGAGTTAATAAAAGCATTAGTCAGAGGGCAGAAGAGGGGTTGTTGAGGTGGTTTGGTCATTTAGAGAGAATGGATCAAAGTAGAATGACATGGAAAGCATATAAATCTATAGGGGAAGGAAAGAGGGGTAGGGGTCGTCCTCGAAAGGGTTGGAAAGAGGGGGTAAAGGAGGTTTTGTGGGTGAGGGGCTTGGACTTCCAGCAAGCGTGCATGAGCGTGTTAGATAGGAGTGAATGGAGACGAATGATACTTGGGACCTGACGATCTGTTGGAGTGTGAGCAGGGTAATATTTAGTGAAGGGATTCAGGGAAACCGGTTATTTTCATATAGTCGGACTTGAGTCCTGGAAATGGGAAGTACAATGCCTGCACTTTAAAGGAGGGGTTTGGGATATTGGCAGTTTGGAGGGATATGTTGTGTATCTCTATACGTATATGCTTCTAAACTGTTGTATTCTGAGCACCTCTGCAAAAGCAGTGATAATGTGTGAGTGTGGTGAAAGTGTTGAATGATGATGAAAGTATTTTCTTTTTGGGGATTTTCTTTCTTTTTTTTTGGGTCACCCTGCCTCGGTGGGAGACGGCCGACTTGTTGAAAAAAAAAAAAAAAAAAAAAAAATCAGAAAAAAAAAAAAATAAAAAAAACAAAAAAAATACATAAATGTAAAGTAAAATATATTTTCAATTATTATATTATAAATAAAAATATATATATATATATATAATATATATATATCACTCTTCCTAGTATAGGTTGGTAGACAGCAACCCCCAGGGAGTATACTACCTCCTGCAAGTGAGTGTAGATTAGTGTTCCTTTATTTTTTCATAAACATGCAAGATTTCAGGTACGTCATGCTACTCTACTTACCACTTAGGTCACACACACATACCGTACAAGCTATAGATGCACACCCCTTTGAGTTTTCTTTCATAATTTCTTTCCTGAGGTTAGAGTCTTGTTCTTCCTTAGTATTATTTCCCCTTTATTTTCCTACCATGGTTATTCCGACCCATGGGGAATGAACAGAATTCTTCCTCCGTAAGCCATGCATGTTGTAAGAGGCGACTAAAATGCCGGGAGCAAGGGGGCTAGTAACCCCTTCTCCTGTATATATTACTAAATGTAAAAGGAGAAACTTTCGTTTTTCCTTTTGGGCCACCCCACCTCGGTGGGATACGGCCGTGTGTTGAAAGAAGAAAGAAATATATATATCTTTCTTCTTTCAACATACCGGCCGTATCCCACCGAGGCGGGGTAGCCCAAAAGGAAAAACGGAAGTTTCTCCTTTTACATTTAGTAATATATACAGGAGAAGGAGTTACTAACCCCTTCCTCCTGGCATTTTTGTCTTACAACACGCATGGCTTACGGAGGAAAAATTCTGTTCCACTTCCCCATGGAGAAAAGAGGAAATAAACAAGAACAATAACTAGAAAGAAAATAGAAGAAAACCCAGAGGGGTATGTATATATATGCTTGTACATGTATGTGCAATGTGACCTAAGTGTTAGTAGAAGTAGAAGACGTACCTTAAATCTTGCATGTTCATGAGACAGAAAAAAGGACACCAGCAATCCTACCATCATGTAAAACAATTACAGGCTTTCGTTTTACACTCACTTGGCAGGACGGTAGTACCTCCCTGGGTAGTTATTGTCTACCAACCTACTACCTACAGTAGAACGCTCACGCATGCCTGCTGGAAGTCCATGCCCCTCGCACACAAAACCTCCTTTACCCCCTCCCTCCAACCTTTCCTAGGCCGACCCCTACCCCGCCTTCCTTCCACTACAGACTGATACACTCTTGAAGTCATTCTGTTTCGCTCCATTCTCTCTACATGTCCGAACCACCTCAACAACCCTTCCTCAGCCCTCTGGACAACAGTTTTGGTAATCCCGCACCTCCTCCTAGCTTCCAAACTACAAATTCTCTGCATTATATTCGCACCACACATTGCCCTCAGACATGACATCTCCACTGTATGTATGTATGTATGTATGTATGTATGTATGTATGTATGTATATGTATAATATATATATAAAATATATATAAATATATATATATATAATAATATATAATATATATATATATATAAATATATATATAATATATTTATTTTCAACAAGTCTGCCGTCTCCCACCAAGGCAGGGGTGACCCAAAAAGAAAGAAAATCCCCAAAAGAAAATACTTTCATCTTCATTCAACACTTTCACCACCTCACTCACACATAATCACTGTTTTTGCAGAGGTGCTCAGAACACAACATTTTTAGAAGCATATACGTATAAAGATACATAACAAACCCTCCAAACTGCTAATATCCCAAAACCCCTCCTTTAGAGTGCAGGCATTGTACTTCCCATTTCCAGGACTCAAGTCCGGCTATATAAAAATAACTGGTTCCCTGAATCCCTTCACTAAATATTACCCTCTCACACTCCAACAGATCGTCGGGTCCCAAATACCATTCGTCTCCATTTACTCCTATCGAACAAGCTCATACACGCCTGCTGGAAGTCCAAGCCCCTCGCCCACAAAACCTCCCTTATCCCTTCCTTCCAACCTTTTCGAGGATGACCCCTACCCTGCCTTCCTTCTCCTACAGATTTAAATGCTCTCCATGTCATTCTACTTTGATCCATTCTCTCTAAATGACCAAACCACCTCAACAACCCCTCTTCAGCCCTCTGACTAATACTTTTATTAACTCCACACCTTCTCCTAATTTCCACACTCCGAATTTTCTGCATAATATTTACACTACACATTGCCCTTAGACAGGACATCTCCAATGCCTCCAACCGCCTCCTCGCTGCTGCATTCACAACCCAAGCTTCACACCCATATAAGAGTGTTGGTACTACTATACTTTCATACATTCCCTTTTTTGCCTCCAAAAATAACGTTTTTTGACTCCACATATACCTCAACGCACCACTCACCTTTTTTCCTTCATCAATTCTATGATTAACCTCATCCTTCATAAATCCATCCGCCGACACATCAACTGCCAAGTACAGTGGACCCCCAGTTAACAAACTTTTTTCATTCCAGTAGAATGTTCAGGTGCCAGTACTGACCGAATTTTTTCCCATAAGGAATATTGTGAAGTAGATTAGTCCATTTCAGACCCCCAAACATACACGTACAAATGCACTTACATAAATACACTTACATAATTGGTCGCATTTGGAGGTGATCGTTAAGCGGGGGTCCACTGTATTTGAAAACATTCACTTCTTCCATACTTCTCCTCCCCAATTTGATATCCAATTTTTCTTTATCTAAATCATTTGATACCCTCATCACCTTACTCTTTTCTATGTTCACTTTCAACTTTCTACCTTTACACACTCTCCCAAACTCATCCATTTTATAAAAGTTAATGGATGAGTTAACTTTTGTTAACTCATCCATTAACAGTATCATCAGCAAAAAGTAACTGCGTCAATTCCCATTTTGTTTTTGATTCCCCATAATTTAATCCCACCCCTCTCCCCAGCACCCTACCATTTACTTCTTTTACAACCCCATCTATAAATATATTAAACAACCATGGTGACATTACACATCCCCGTCTAAGACCCACCTTTACTGGGAAGTAGTCTCCCTCTCTTCTACACACCCTAACCTGAGCCTCACTATCCTCATAAAAACTCTTTACAGCATTTAGTAACTTACTACCTATTCCATATACTTGCAACATCCGCCACATTGCTCCCCTATCCACTCTATCATATGCCTTTTCTAAATCCATAAATGCAATAAAAACTTCCCTACCTTTATCTAAATACTGTTCAGATATATGCTTCAATGTAAACACTTGATCTACACATCCTCTACCCACTCTAAAACCTCCTTGATCATCTGCAATCCTGCATTCTGTCTTGCCTCTAATTCTTTCAATAATAACCCCACCAAGCACTTTTCCTGGTATACTCAGTAAACTTATTCCTCTATAATTTTTACAATCTCTTTTGTCCCCCTTCCCTTTATATAAAAGAATTATACATGCTCTCTGCCAATCCCTAGGTACCTTCCCCTCTTTCATACATTTATTAAGCAAAAAATACCAACCACTCCAACACTATATATCTCCCTGCTTTTAACATTTCTGTCATGATCCCATCAGTTCCAGCTGCTTTACCCCCTTTCATTCTACATAATGCCTCATGCACCTCCCCCACACTCACATCCTGCTCTTCTTCACTCCTAAAAGATGGTATACCTCCCTGGCCAGTGCATGAAATTACTGCCTCCCTTTCTTCATCGACAAAATATTCCAACCCTCTACCCAGTATCTCCATCTCCCCTCTACTAACTCCCCTATTCTGTTTTTAACTGACAAATCCCTAGGCTTTCTTAACTTGTTTATCTCGTTCCAAAATTTTTTCTTATTTTCATCAAAATATCTTGACATTGCCTATCCCACTCTATCATCTGCTCTCCTTTTACATTCTCTCACCACTCTCTTCACCTTTCTTTTACTCTCCATATACTCTGCTCTTCTTATAACACTTCTGCTTTGTAAAAACCTCTCGTAAGCCACCTTTTTCTCTATCACACCCTTTACTTCATCACTCCACCAATCACTCCTCTTTCCTCCTGCACCCACCCTCCTATGGCCACAAACTTCTGCCCCAGATTCTGATGCTGCATATACATATACATATACATACAGCATTATGTTCACACTTTAACAGTACATCACAACCTAAAGACCATTTGTTCAGTTTAACATTCTCACATATGCTTCCTGAATGGGAAAGAATTTAGGAATTTTGTTGAATGATGGGGTGAGTGGATTTAATCTTCCTTATGTGATAAAGGATAGTGCTGCTGCTACAGGCACTTACATAATATGACTGACCAAAATAAATCTGCTTCTGAGTAAACATCTGTCAAACGATTACTCTTGGTGGTGTTTGTGTCTTGTATAAAGCTCTATAAAGGTGTTATGAGAATTATGGAAAATATTTGTTCATGGAAGATGGTATAACTTCACTTCCGGCTACAGTATGTCATTCCTCAGTCAAAATTTTTTTTATCAAAATTTTCCCTTATTTTGATTAAGTGTGTGATTATTTCATTTTAATACAATAATAAAATTCTTACAAACCTGCAGTACTAGCTCAGCACGTGCCATACCCCTTCCAACCATTCTTGTGTATGTCTGTGGAGGATCACGCTGTACCTATAATAAATATACAATGTACCACATAGAGAAAACAATAAATAAAGCAATTACAAATTTTATCATGAAAATACTTTTTTATTATCTACTAAAAACTTCTCAGCTTTCTTAGAACACTATGATCAAGTTTTCACAAGGCCTGCCCAGCATGGGTTAGATCATCATCATACTCATTATCATCTCCTCCTCTTCCTCCTACTTCTAATGATAATTCTTTCACCACTACGGTCGAAGCTCGGTGGTCAATTGCATTATTTGTTGAATAAATTGGTTTTCGAATGAGGTGTCAAGAAAAAAAATGTCCTGGCTTTCATACATTCTCTTGGTTGTCGATGGACAAGTTTTCATGTGTACGGAACAGGACAAAGTGGCTCAGGTCACGTGCTTATGGAATGCGAACTGGACAATGGGTTGAGAGTGAGGGTATGAGTCAGTATAGCCACTAACTTGCGTGATGTAAACATCTCTTGAGCTTTTGTTGTGATTCTTGTGAACTTTTTTGTCATTTTGCAATATTGGTGCAATTTTTTTGTTGTGAGATAAGCCATCACAGATCCAAAAAAGGATAATGATATTAAAGCAAAAAGAAAAGTTGTAAAAAGCACTGAATTTAAAAAAGAAATTATTAACCCTTTCAGGGTCCAAGGCCCAAATCTGGAGTCACGCACCAGTGTCCAAGAATTTAAAAAAAAAAATTTTTTTATTTTTTCTTATGAAATCGTAGAGAATCTTTTTGTGAAGGTAATAAAACAAAAAGTACGAAATTTGGTGGAAAATTGACGAAATTATGCTCTCGCGAATTTTGATGTGTCAGCGACATTTACGAATCGGCAATTTTGCCGACTTTGACTCCCATTTTAGGCCAATTACATTATTCCAATCAACCAAATTCTTAGCTATTTCACTAGTATTACTTCTATTCTATCGATTGAGCACAAGAAATCGCCAAGTCAACTGTTTCAACTACAAAATAAAGTGATCGGAAATTGTTAATTGGCCAATTTAACACAAAGTTCAAAATATTCCAATTTCAAAATAGGGTCCAGAATAAACAATGTAGGCATTCCTGGCACTAAACTAACGTTTCCTCTGTTCATTAGTTATGTTTTGAGGCTTTACAAATAAATTCCATTTTGATTTTTTATTCACATAATGAATTTTTATTCACACCAAAAAATAGAAGATTTACTGTTATGCAATACTGTAATAATTGTATAAATATCATCACCATATTTGTGAATGTATATTAGACCCACCAGCTGACGTGTATTAGACGTGTGAGGTCGTTTGTTTACTCTTGAATATCGGCAAAAATTTAACATTTCTGCTACTTTGAGCTCAGTTTCAAGCCATTTCCAGTGCTAAAACCAATCAAAATCATCTCTATTTCTGTAATATTGTCTTCCATTCTATCAAATGAGACCAAGAAATCGCAAATACAACTATAAAAAACATACGAAAAAACACTGCAAAGTTGCTGTTTTAATAAAAAAATCATGATTTAAGTTTTTTTCTCTCATTATACACAGTGTGCTGCAGGATCTGTTTTATGTGGTGCACACATACCACATAGATGTATTCTCTCATATCTAGGCCCAAATGTACCACTCACAGTTTATCAGAGTGAGCTGACCTCATGGCGTAGATCTACGGTTTGGACCCTGAACGTAAAGCCGTAGATCTACGGGACGGACCCTGAAAGGGTTAAAAAAAGTGTGAAGAAGATCGGCTTAGTGTGGTTGATATAGCAAAACTTTTTGATAAGTCAGCATTTACCATTAGCATGATATTGGGCCAAAGGGAAAAAATTAAAGCAGTTGACCTTCCAAGCAGTAACATCCTCCCCACACTCCACTCCTCCACCTCCTACTTCCAGTATGCCATTAGCTCTCCTCTGACAAGTAAGGAGCAGTTAAATTTTCATTTAGTATTCAATTTTACAGTATTGCTGTGCTGTAATTTCATACATTGTTTTATGTAGTAGTTAGTACATTATTATATTATTACAGTGCAGGTCTCCCTCAACATTCGCGAGGGTTAGGGGATCAAGAGCCTCGCGAATGTTGAAAAACCGTGAATGTTTGGTGCCCCAATATATTGTAAGGAAATATATTACAATACTGCTTCCTTAACTTGTTGAACCATGAATAATCATAAAATACATGAAAACGTCGTAAATTGTACTAAATATATACATGTCATGCTTTAATAACGTATGTTATTTAATAACATGTATGTTAATACACAGACTCCACCACTGTCTCCACCAATGCCTCCACCACTGCGAGTCCCTACTACCCTCCCTCCGATCCCCGCAACTGGCAGCCAGCCCTCCCACCACTCAGTGTGGTGAGTGTTTTGTTTGCTCATTATTTGCTATTAAACTACAGAATAAATAATGTAAACCCATTCATGACTGCATATTGGAATAGCTATTAGGAAAGGTACTAGACGGTGACATCATGTGTTTACTCTTGAACACAGCAAAGAATCGAACATTTCTGCTATTGCTAATAATAACAATAGTAATAATAATAATAAATACGATATAATTGAAGAAGGAAATTGTACAAAAATACGAGGGAGTGGTTGACACATCGTCAGTGTGACTATGTTTATGCTGGAGTGAACATTAGTCTCCCTGCTCTTCCAAACATTTCACAATAATTCAGCGGTTGAGGCAGTGGTATTTAATAACATGTATGTTATAAATAATAATAGTACATGTTATTATTAATAACATATATTATTATTAACATGTATGTATTTAATAACATATATATTATAAATAATAATAGTACATATTATTAATAACATGTATTATTATTAACATGTATGTTATAAAATACCATTGCCTCAATCACTGCCTCTACCACTTCCAGTCACACTCAATCTACAAGCACCAAACACAATGAATTATTGTGAAATGTTTTTGGAGGAGCAGGGAGACTAATGTTCACTCCAGCATAAACAAAGTCACACTGACGATGTGTCAACCACTCCCTCGTATTTTTGTACAATTTCCTTCTTCAATTATATCATATTTTTATTATTATTATTATTATTATTATTATTATTATTATTACTATTGTTATTATTAGCTGTAGCAGAAATGTTTAATTCTTTGCAGTGTTCAAGAGTAAACACATGATGTCACCGTCTAATACCTGTCCGAATAGCCATTCCAATATGCAGTCATGAATGGGTTTACATTATTTATACTGTAGTTTAATAGCAAATAATGAACAAACAAAACACTCACCACACTGAGTGGTGGGAGGGCTGGCTGCCAGTTGCGGGGGTCGGAGGGAGGGTAGTAGGGACTCGCAGGTGGCGGGAAACTTAAATATGATTTGGTGGCTGGGAATTTGGTGGCTGGGAATTAGGTGGCTGGGAATTTGGCGGTTGGGAATTCGCGAATGTGTGAATCCCGTGAAATTTGAAAACATGAATGTTGAGGGAGACCTGTATATTATCATTTGGAGTCTGGAACGGATTAATTCTATTTAGATTATTCTGTATGGGAAAAACTGCTTTGGTTGTCATCGATTTTGGTTGTTGAACTGACATCAGGAATGAATTAAATTTGAAAACCAAGGTTCCACTGTATTCTATTATTATTTCTACCAATAATGCCACCACTGCTATTACTTCATTACAGATGAGAATCCTTTATCCAAAATGCTTGGGACCATGAGTGTTTCAAATTTGAAATTTTTTCAGAATTTGGAATATTTGTATATTAGTGAAGCCAATCAGAAAAGATGTCCCTGGTGATCCATGTCCTTTTGTCAGTATAATAATGGACTGGTAAGTTAGTACAGTGGACCCCCGCATAACGATCACCTCTGAATGCGACCAATTATGTAAGTGTATTTATGTAAGTGCGTTTGTACGTGTATGTTTGGGGGTCTGAAATGGACTAATCTACTTCACAATATTCCTTATGGGAACAAATTCGGTCAGTACTGGCACCTGAACATACTTCTGGAGTGAAAAAATATCGTTAACCGGGGGTCCACTGTATTCCTAAGGAGTGGGTTCACGCCAATCCTCTGTGATATTGTTCTAATGTCACCTTTGCACCGTTTATAACATTTCTGGTATATTCTTAAATGTTTATACAGTAGTGTACTGTATACTGCCTCTTCCCACTTAGCAACATACTTGTTTACCAACAACTTGAACTTACAACGGGCTCTCTGACCAGTACCAGTAATCATACCTAAATAATGTATATCAGAGCTTATTTCCTCTATTCTGTTTATTTCAATATACGTACAGTACACTACTGTATAAACATTTAAAAATATACCATAAATATTATAAATGGGGCAAAGGTGACATTAAAACAACATCAAAGATGGCTGACACAAACTCACTACCATTATATCAAGTATGCTCCTCACTTAGTGATGAATTAGTTTAATGACATGGTCTCTGAAATGGAACTCCTTCATTAAGTGAGGAGAGGCTGCATATATATACGTATACACACCCCTTCTGGATTTTCTTCTATTTTCTTACTAGTTTTTGTTCTTTTTTATTTCCGCTTATCTCCATGGGAGATAAGCGGAAATAAAATTCTTCCTCCGTAAGCCATGCATGTTGTATGAGGTGAATAAAATGACAGGAGCAAGGGGCTAGTAACCCCTCCTCCTGTATATATTACTAAAGTTAAAGAGAGAAACTTTTGTTTTTCTTTTTGGGCCACCCTGCCTCAGTGGGATATAATAATAATAATAATAATTTATTTGACATGATACACAGTTGTACAAAGGAATATAATGGTTGAGTGTACATGCCAAAAGCCCCTTGTATGCAGAGTATTTCGGGCAAACTTAAAATTAACTTAAAAATTAATAAGGCTATACCAGAAAGAAAAAAGAAGTTATCTCAGGGCAGTTACCAACAGCCTGGCTGATCAGAGAATGGGCTAGAGTTAACAGAAGGATCAAACCTCCACCATTCATTGCAAAATATGCCTCACACATTTAGCA